CACAAAAAAGGCATTTTCTCAGACTACACCTTTCCTGATTTCTAAGGTGTGGCCTGAGAAAACATTTTTCGGAAAAATAGAAATAGTTAATCAAAGATTAGGCATTTTTCGAAAAAATAGATTCTAAACATAGTGTTATTGTGATATCATTTTTTCAAAGAAACGGCATTTAGGATTATCAACGGGTCAGAACCTGATAGAGCCGGTCCTGAATTGGCAAGAAAAATATGGACCTATAACCGACCCAATCCTTATAGAGTCTCTAATTTTGGACCCAAAATCGAACTGATCATTCTTAGGACAATTGGGTTCAATCCGATGGACCCTATTATAATATGCATTCTTTGGGTAAAAACAAAAACACAAATGTAGTTGTAGTTGCAAACGAAAGAATGGAGTTGGGTAAAAGCAACAATGAGAGAATGAATGATGTAGATGTAGTTGCAAATGCAGCCGAATGGAGTTGATTGTTGACAGATGGACGAAGTTGCAGACTTAGCCGGCAACCCCTCTTTGCAGATACAATGTAGATGCAGTTGCAAATGAGCAGATGTAGATGACGATGGACGGCAAGAAATAGATGGACGGACGGTCGCCCGTCAGACTGACGATGGAATTTTTCAGCGTTCAGCCCTGCCTTTTCCAGTTTCCTGTTCTGTTTTCTAGTTTGTGTCTCCAGTCTTTTTGAGTCTTTCGAATGAGAAGAAAGTCAGAAACGAAAGGGGCTAGGGGGCAACCACCATTTCGTAGGTTTTGAATGAAACCCTGCCGAAATGACACTTTTAGGGAAAATTTTTTATTATACAAAACATGAACAGTTCCAAATTCTTGCCTCTTTTATTTAATAAAGTTGGAGTCACCAAAATGCTCATTGAGACGTAACCCCAATTTTCTTGAATAGAAAAGAAAAGGATTTGGGACCGTTCATTTTTTGTCAATGTTTGAATGGTTAATAAAGAAAATTAGATGACACTTAAAGGGCATTTGTGTCTTTTCAAATGCCACTTAACGGCTGGTTAACGATAGGTATTGGATTGACACACTTTGAAAGTTCAAGTATTGAATTGTCGTGTTTTAAAGCTTGGGGACCAAAGTGACACTAGGCCCAAAATACAGGGTATTGGGAATTTTTCTTGTACCCGGTTCCAACCTGATAATAATCAAGAAAATTTATTAAAAACTGGAACTGATTCATCGGGACAAGTTCTAAAACCAAAACCGGTCCAAATCGATTCAAATCCATCTAATCGGGCCTGGCCCATTGGCAGCCCTATCGGCATTGATGCCAAATACCTACTAGGAGGTTTATATAATTGTTTCCTGGTGGAAACTCAAGCTGCAGCGCTGTTAATAAAATCTCTGTTGGTGGAAGATAATAATCTAGTGTAGAGCTAGCATAAATATATTCTAGGGAAAAAGTATGGACAGACCCAATGCAGATTTCTGAATTCAACTGTAGATTTATAATCATTCAAAATGTTAAAAACCTCCACTTTATACATCAATGCGCTCTGGTGAATTGACATCAATTCCACACTCGCATTCACCCCAGGTGGTTTTGCGCATATGTTTGCTAACAAGGCCGCTCTTTTGGTGGCAAAATTTGCTCTATCTCTATGATGCATACCTGGTCAAGAACTTATTTTCTCACAACCCCATCCCCTCTTGCAAGATTAGCAATCAAGTTCACTTAAGTTTTGGTTTTAATTAATTTATTTGTTGGGTGGGTTTCTTCTAGCTGTTCCTTTTCTGTTTATTTTTTCTCATTATCTTTCTTTCTTATGAATGAATGATTGTTAAGGTGCTTTAAATCCCCATATACAATAGGCCCCTATATATATAATTCTCTCAGGAAATAAACTCCTTATAGTTAACAATGTTTTATAAATAAATAGCCCCTAAAATCTAAAAAGGCTTTGAAGAATTAACATATTTAATACTATATATATAATTAATATACATGCATATAATAAAAAATGTTTCAGTTTAATCTATGCTAGAAGAGATAATTATAGAAGAAACCATTGGAAAAACTATGATAGCCATTAAATACATAAAATACCATTATAGACTTGTATGCCCTTGAAAATATACACATTATAGCCGCATAAAAGGAGTAAATTACTTATACCTTGTCTAGGGTTTTGGTCAAGTTTACCCATTTACTCTTATACCCCTTTAAGTGACAAAGAAACTATAGGAGATTTATTAATAGAAGAGATGGAATCAAGACAGAACTATGTATTTTACCAAAATATCTTCAATAACAAAACATTAATCTTGCCTCCAAAGTAAATATTTCAAAATTGATAAAAGTACCCCCAATCTATAAATACTAAATATAACTTTACCATATCAAAATTTTCTTTAACTCATTTCTGGATTCCACCCTAACGTTACGGTAGAAAAAACTATCTTGTCAAAAAATATAAGTGAAATTATTTTTATAGTTCAGCAGCGCTATGCATTCACTAATATTAGCTGCACATTAAATCCAAATTCCAACCAATGACATTAAATTCTACTTAATTTTCATTGCTTCACATTTCAAAAAGTATATTTCCATGTTTAATAAGGTGTACTAACCATCATGTTTAATCAATCACATCTTTTGCTGCATTCATGATGCAATAGATGTACCATACTAAAATTGATGAGAAGTTAGTGGAGAGATGGAAGAAGTTACTCAGTCCCAAACTATAACGAACCTGAAGGGAGGTATCAGTATTTGACCAAAACTCCAGGAGATTTACAAGTAATTTACCCTAAAGAGGTTCAAAGTTAACACTCTTATATGATTATCTTATAAAAGAGTTCAAAAATAGGAAGAAAAAAACTAAGTAGTTCAATATCACTCACTATTCTCATCTCTTGATTTATGCTGGTTTTAGGCTACTCTTAAGTAACAAGAATTTTGGTCATTACTCAATATCATTGTTTAAAGAGTGATTGAGTGAGAAGAGATTCTTTTTCGTTTAGGATATATTTGGGTTGACAGAAAATAAGAGAGAAACAGAAGGTTGAAATGTTAACTTTTCCCTCCATTTCTATTTTTCTCTTATTTACTTTCAAAGCAAAACATGACCTCAAGGAGTGGTAATTTATTGTTACTTGCCCTTTTATGGCTGTAGAAAAAAGAAAAAAAAAAACATAACATTTAAACATAATTAATGAAAACTAATAACTAACGAAGTATCTTTTTCCACGGTAGTTGTTAGTTATTACTTAATAGAGGGGCTCCATATAATGAGGTAAAAGGCAGTTGGAAGATGTGAATCTTTAATGATATAAAAAAAAGAGGTGATCTTTAACAGGCTTATTTCATCCGAATGAAGCTGTGGGCCGAGAGGCCCGAGACATGTTGCCTAATGATCAGCCCAATCGGTTTCCAGCTTGGTGTGGCTCAGTGGCTCCGCTGTCCGGGTCCAGTCGACACTCGATCCGGCTCATTCGGGTTTGTTCAGTTCTTGTTTATTATAAAAGAAAAAAAATCAACCTCGATAGTGGCGAAATTTAATATCAACTTGTTGAAGTTTTATAATTTGTAAAATCTAGAAAGGGGTCTACTTAACGCCAAAGCTCTAAAATAGATACATCCCAATTAATCCAAGCTAAAGAACAAGGGTAAGATGGTTAATCCGAAAAATAAAAAATTCTGGTTAATCTAATTAATCAATCCAGTATTTTTTATGAAAAACCAAAAGTATCAGTTTTGGTTAATATATATATATCAAACAGTCGAAAAATCAATAATTTTGGTTTGCGGTTTTCAAAAACCAGTGCTATTGGTCAAGGTTTTAAAAACTAATATGGAACTGGAGTAGTTCTAGCTAGCGGTTTTTAAGTCAATGGTTTGACCATCCGGTTCAAACGAATGGCTCCATCCAAATAAAAAAAATGAAAAGTTGATTAAAATAAAAATGGCCAAAACCCATTGAATTGGTCCAGTGGGTTAACGGTTTGACCATCTGGGTCAGCGAGTTGTTCACTAATTCAATGGCTTTTGGCCAAGGGTCATGTTTGAGGTAAAACGAAACTGGTTACCTAGATGGTTCCCGTGTCAAACAATCCGACTGTTTGAGTCAATGAGGGTTCTAGGGATGTCAATTTTCCCCATCCCTGACGGGGACTTAACTTCCTCGACCCCATCAGGTCGGGATCGAGGATGGGGATTGAGGTCCCTGCCCCACCCCGACCCCGATTATATATATATATATATATATATATATATATATATATTAAATGTTATTAATATTAAACATATTATATATATTGAAACATATTTAAAATATTATTTATAATAAATAAATTTAATTTAAAAAAATTTCAAAAATTTGGATCCTCATAGGAAACCTATCTCCCTCGAGGGATCGAGGATGAAGGACAAATTTTATCAGGAATCAGGGATGGGATTGATTAATTTCAGAATGGGGGTTAATTTTATCCCCGGCCCAAACCCGCCCTTGCCATTCCTAAAAGGTTCACAAAAACTACGTTTTAATAAATAAGCCCACGGTTTGATGAGCACCCTTGGATAACCCTAACATAAAGGAACCCGTATGGCTGCAAAACCCTAACCCGCTTTGCAGGTGGGTCCTGTTCCGGGAAACTACTTTATCCTAGTCCTACTACTGTAACCCTACCTAGATCGGTAAAATGAAATAGATCGCGATAGGATGGTGCCCGGTGGTGGATAGCGACGATGACAGGACGATGGGAATCAGGAGAGAGAGATATTACCTCTCTTGTTAAAATTGAGAATGCATAGGCATCTCCGACCTCCGGAATCGTTGCACTGGATCAGATACGGATCCCAATCCGAATAAGTATAAGATCCTATACGAGGAGTTGAATCAAAACCGAAAAATCATATTTTAATTTTAAGCGTATCAGCAGAGTCGAAGTTGAGACCGATATTTACTCTTTTTCTTTTTTACCGAATAGAGTGAAGACAAAACGAATAAGAGTGGCGCATTTGCTGCTCCCATAATAGACTCCTCATTTATTAAAAAGTTGCGAGCTCTAGATCTCCCGAATCTCTCCTTCAATGTCACTCTCGCTCTCTCCTCTCATTTTCTGTGGTTCCGAGTTTCCAAGAACGAATAGCAGCTTCTTTTTTCGGAAGCTTCAAAATTTTTTCTTTCTGCAGCCAAACAATTAATATAACACAAAGTCTTTGAGATTGGTCTTACTCTTGGGCTCAAACCCATTCAATTTCAGCCTGAATCTACCATTTATTTCTTGTCTTTTGAGTTTTGACTCTCCTCCTCTTCGACAATATAGGAATTTGTATGAAGTGGGAAATTTAGGTTAGTGGGCCTTCGGAAAAAGAGTTTCTGCAGGCTCTCTTCAAGAGTGTTAAGCGTTTGACTCACTGTAAAGTAGGGTTTCAAACGTGTAAAGTCGGAACTTGAAAGGAGTAAAGACTTGTGCTTTTGAGAATGAAATTGGTTTTAGCATTCTGGGTTTTGGTGGGTTTTATCGGGTGGTGTTGGTGGAAGAAGAAGAAGAAGAAGAAGGAGAAGGAGCAATTAGAAAACCAGTCCGGGATTCCCAAAGGGACTTTAGGGTGGCCTTTAATAGGAGAGACCTTGAATTTCATCGCCTCCGGCTACACTTCTCGACCTGTTAGCTTCATGGAAAAGCGCAAATCTCTGTGAGTTCTTCTTCTTCCTCTCAACTTTGAAGTTTATAGGAGAGACTGCTTTAATCTTGTATGTTGGTTTTTCTCTTTCACTTCTTCTTCTTCTTACTAACTTAAGAGATACCTAGGATACAAAAAAATTGATAAATAGGAGAAAAAAAAGAAAAAGAAACACCAGCTATCTTTCTTTTCTGCAGGTGGAAAATTCTGCCTCTGGAAAAGGATAATTTCTTTCTCCTTGCTTCCTTCAATTTAAGAAGAAAGAGTGCCAAGTAGCAGTCTCCCACGTGAACCTCCGTGAATAAAAGATTTCCCACTTACGTCTCCCTCTTCACTTTTTTTTTTTGTTCCAAAAGTTGGTTATATTACGTGTTCTTTGATTTTACATTCAAAACCACAGCTTTTGGCTCAGATTTTCTCCATTTCAGTGACGGGATCTTCTTTCTGGTTTATCATATGGGGATTTTGTTGTTGCTTTTTAATTTTGTATGGTTTTGTAACTCTATAGTTTTCACTACTTCTCATTATCATCATCTCTCTTTCTCTTCAATTCTCAGATACGGTAATGTGTTCAAATCTCACATATTAGGAATGCCCATCATAATCTCGACCGATCCAGACGTGAACAAGGTAATTCTACAGAACAATGGAAGCATCTTCGTCCCTTTCTACCCCAAATCGATCACAGAACTACTGGGAAAATCTTCTATACTTCAAATGAATGGTAATCTACAAAAGAGAGTGCATGGGTTGATCGGAGGCTTCTTTAGATCACCTCAACTCAAAGTTCGAATCACACGAGAGATAGAGAATGCTGTCAACAAAGCCATGGAGGCTTGGAGGGATGGAGATCTCGTTTACATGCAGGAAGAAACCAGAAACGTGGGTTTCTCTTCATTTCTGTTCATTTTCACTGTTTTCTTTCAAATCTTGATCAAACTTTTCTTCTATGTATCTCAGATTACGTTTCAAGTATTGGTTAGGGTGTTGATGAGCGTTGGCCCAGGTGAAGATTTACAGTTTCTGAAGAGAGAATTCGGAGAATTCATTAAAGGATTGGTCTGCTTACCGATTAAGCTACCGGGAACCAGGCTATATAAATCACTGAAGGTAATTGTTAAGATCTCCATTGTGTTGGTGACTGGTGAATTCTCTGTATACTGATTCTACTCTTCCTTTTTTTTTTCTAATTATAGGCTAAGGAGAGGCTGTTGAAGATGGTGAAGAGGATTGTGGAGGAGAGGAAAATGAGAATGGAGAGTATAGATGAGAGAGGTCCTCTCATGGACGCAATAGATGTTTTATTGTGTGACGCAGGAGAAACAGAAGACAAACAACATCTACCGTTGGATTTCATCAGTGGGAATATCATAGAGATGATGATCCCAGGAGAGGACTCGGTGCCCATGCTGATGACACTGGCAGTCAATTATCTCAGCGAGTCTCCCCTCGCTTTAAAGCAGTTAGTGGTAATACTAATACATCACGTTTGCTTTACTAAACTGACGGTTAAGAAATAGATTCCTTCGGGTCCATCTGATCCAAGGGTTCTGTGTGCCACGTGTACGTTCCCAAGAGACACATTGAATTTTTTTGTTATTTATTAAAACGCCCAATAAATCTATACTATAGTTTGGATTTTACTAAAACACCTCGTAGTTGGCAATCAATTTACTTAATCAAACCTCAATTAGATAACAGTGGAAAATAATAATTTTGACCCTAATTTCTATTTGATAAATTTAATGAAAAAACAAAAATGAAAACATTAATTTTGCCCTTAATAAGACACAAACAACCATGTTACTTGGTTGTATTTGCTCAATTTTGTATTTTATATATAAGAATTAAAGGTAATTTTGAAATAAATAATCATATATTTGAAACTCAGTTTAAGTGATCATATTAGTAGTTTAAAAAACAATTATTGATAAAAAGTCGATTAAATAAATTGATTGTAAAGGTGTTTTAAAAAATCTATAAAAATATAAAGGGTATTCTAATAAAAAACCCTTTTCTTAAGTTTTGACTTTTAATTATGGACGTACTACCATGCTATTCTTCCAATAAAAGAAGAACATACACACGAGTGAGATGGAAAAAGATGTGAAGGGGCCCGCCCCTATTTAAGTATGGGTGCGGTGCGTTCCCCACCGCCGTGCGATCTTGATTGGACGGTTGTCAGATGTAAGGACCACCTCTTTATAGTCTACACTATTCTCCTATCCTATGGACCACTAGCTGTCGATTTCATTTATTAACGGAAAAGTTTAATCTCACATTGAAGTATTGAACATTCACGTGGCTCCACTTACAAATCGATCCGGAACGTTCATCATGTGGTCCCTCTGTTACGATGATAAATGGTTGGCCCACTAGTCTTAGGGTTCAGATCTATCCAAAGGCAGTGGGCCCGGGCACGTGTGAAGGCGTAGTGAACAGTGAAGGAACGTTCACGTCAACTAAAATGCATCAATCTTTTTAGGTTTCATATCCCAAAAAATAAACAAAAAAAAGTTTTTAGATAATTATTATATATCGTTTTTTTTCTGATGCCTTTTGTTGTGTACTGGCTTACTATACCTTCTTTACGCAAGGAGGTATAACTGAATAGTAATTAACATGGAATCGGAATGTACTTTCTTCAGGATGGTTGTTTGTCGTTATGGGTTGCTATACACCCTCCAATCTTCCTTGAGCCGTACACGTGGCTAATCAGACCGTCTGAATCTAGGTATCTACACTGTCCGACCAGTGTACGAGCCCTTAGGTGGATCGTCGGCCAAGGATCATAACTAAATCTTTCTGGGACCGACAGGGCGATGCTCAACCCGATCCGAAATATTCATAGTCGGGTCATCACCATTAACTATATACTCTATAGGCTATAGGCTATACCGCTATAGCTTGCCTTATGATTGGGCCTCCACTATGGTCCGGGTTAGAGATCCTCTGGATCTCTGATTGGGCCTTTACTTCCACGTCGGCCTGGATGTATAGCTCCTCTGTCTTGATTTAAGATGGTGCTCTACCCTACTGCAATTGTATGATTTGGCCTTATTTCATGATTTTTTTTTTATTTGCTCTGTTTGTGTTTGGTGGTAGGAGGAGAACATGGAGTTGAAAAGACAGAAGACACAATTAGGTGAAGATTATGCTTGGACGGATTACATGTCGTTGCCATTCACTCAAAACGTGAGATGAACGAGATGGAACTATATAGTTCAGAGATCCAGTAGATATTATTCGTTTCTTTGTTCACTATTGTTATTAATTGAACTGTGTCTCTTCTGTCTTGTCTTTATCTTCTCAATAGGTGATTAATGAAACCCTTAGAATGGCAAACATCATTAATGGTGTTTGGAGAAAAGTTCTCAGAGATATAGAAATCAAGGGTATGTTCTTTGTAGTGAGTTATTGAACTCCCCCACCCCACCCCACCCCACTCACTTCTTTTAATAGAAATGAACAGAACTTCATTTATGTTATCTGGGCTCTTTTGCAGGTTATTTTATTCCAAAGGGGTGGTGTGTACTGGCTTCCTTTATTTCTGTTCACATGAATGAAGAGAATTATGAGAACACTAACCAATTTGATCCTTGGCGATGGCAGGTAAGTTTTAGTGCAAGGGGACTAGAAGAGAATTGTGCCAAATTATTAGAATTAATTATTACTAGTGTAAGGGAATATGCTATGCACTTATGCAAGTAAAAATGGTATTTGGATTTAACTTTTATGACTAGTATGGAACCCAAGACAAGCATATGCTTTTATATAGTATAAATTTGTATGTGTATTTGTGCTAATCTAATCTTTCAGAAAAACAAAAAAAGCAGTAGACCTAGAACTAAATGGCCGAGTTGTTGAATATTAGTTTAAAAAATAAGAAGAATATCACCATCATTATCATCATTGTCTGAACCTGTCCCAACTTCAGTGCCATATCTATTGTTAAAATTATGGGTACTTGAATCAGTTCTTATTACTTCCATCTCATTCCTTTTTGTCTATTCCAACCTCTACTAGCCAATTAATTCATTCATCAAAATTGCTCTTGCTCAGATAGAACCCCTTGTGCACTTTTTATGTCAATTTGCCAAGGTTGGTGGTCAAAAGTTACTTGGACAATGGTGGGCTTTAATCTCATGACTCTCTCCTTTTAAGTATTGCAAGCATGAAGGTTCGGTTCATGCAGCAGCCCAAAAATGGTTAATACACATACAGCCTAGATGACAATGATGGCAACAATACCGTCAATTCACTTGTGGGCATTTATTGGTTGGCTTTATTGGGCAGAGGGTGATCCTAAGAGCTAGTTGAACATTAATAATAACGAAGCCCATTCCTCAACTTGACACCCAAAGGAACACTCTTGAGGAAAAGTTGGAGGCAAACATGGGTTTCTCTTTCTAAATCATGATATGACTTTTTAGTTCTAGTACAATTTTGCTTTATGCATGATCCAGGACAAAGATTGTGAAAACCACAAACACAAACATGAAGAAAAGAAGGCAGAATCTTGAAAAGTAAAGATTGTGCTTCACTAAGAATGAAACAAATGGCTTAAATGCATCCAATCCTTGGAGGTGTAGAATTGGGAGAGAAGCTGCCCACCAGAATTTGGTATTGTGTTAGATTAGATAGATGGCTTTAGACAGTAGAGTAGGCACTGCCTAATTGCAGTGGTGAGAGGTCATGTCACCCCCTTAGCTTGGCTCCTAACCAATTGAGGTGGAAAGATCATGCCATATTCTCAACTAGTCATGTTAACTGTTAATGCTGGGCCCTGAATTTCACAATCATCCATCATCTCTCACCATAAAAATAAGTTGAGAAGCACCCAAAAGAAATTAACCAGTGAGTGGAACTGCACATGCAATGAACTTGAGGTCTTTGTTTTTAAATGTTGCTTACTTTGTATCTGTACCAGTTAAATACATTGCACTTCTACATCCACATTGAGGAGCATGTGGCAAGTCTTCTTTTGGCATTAGGTAGTGATTATAAAATAGGATGGCCATGGTCTTTTTGAGTGATTGTATCCAAATCATCTTTTTGCTTTTTTAACTGTTTTCTTTTTTTTTTTTTGTAAAATATGAAAATGTTTACGGGTTTTAACTGTTCAGTCCACCCTAGAAATCTTAGTTCCACCTTAGGGGTAGAATGATTCCTGACCGTGGATTGATGCCAAATCCATGGGTAGGATGAGAATTATAGGGGAGCTACTAATAGACTAGGAGGTGACTGTAATTTCAGATTTCTGAGTACAGTCTACTGCTGTACAGGTTTTTCTTGTCTTTATTTATTTCCTTTTAAAAATCTCCTTTGTTATGACAGAGAAAAGGAGGAAACATCAACAATAATTACTGTTTTACACCGTTTGGAGGAGGGCAGCGGTTGTGCCCTGGTCTTGAACTCTCTAGGCTCGAAGTCTCCATTTTCCTTCATCATCTTGTCACCCGTTTCAGGTAATAAAAACAATTGCCCATAAACTTGTTTTTAAATTTCACTTAAAATTTCCAACATTTCGGAATATATATTTACCTGGACTTATTTTAGTCAGAATTTTATAATATTTCAATTGGAATTTAAGAATATTAACTAGTTTTTCACAGTTTCTAATTAATATTCAAGAAATGAATGGTTGTATCTTTTTTATTTTATTATTGGAATTCAAAATTTTCCTTTTATTCCTTTGGGGAAAGATGAAATTACTAGAACCCCATCTCATTTGATGGATAATCGAGTTTGAAACGAGTATGAGTAGTTAATTGAGTTGAAAATCGAGTTTTGTAGTACTCGACTTTAGTGGCTCATGAGCCTAATCGAGTAATTAATAAAATATTATTTTATTTATCATACACTCAATATATTATGCTAATTAATATTTTATGATTCTTTTCACTTAGGGTTGCCTTTTTGCATTTTATTAGTTCTTCGCTTCATTCTTCACTCTACCCCGGCCCTCTATCCTTTGAGCTAACGCTGCTAATCTTCACCTTCCCACTAAAGCCTCTCTCTCTCTCTCTCTATATATATATATCCGCAACTCATTTGTCACTCTCACAGTCACACATGCCAAACTCTAGCAACGACTTCCCTATTTCACCACTCCCTCTTCTCTTTGGCGTATGCCAAGATGTCAAGCCAAGTTGATACTTGAATATGCTGAGTATCTTATTGAGCCAAGTTTGAATAGGAAAAATAAAACTCAATTAAGTTCGACTTTGAGTCTCAAAAGTAAGAGTTGGATCAAATTTGAGTAGTGCAATATATCAACTCAACTCGGCTGGATTACACCCTGGGCCCTTTTTTTGTGTCCAAAACCTGCTAGATACCATTATCCTTTCATAAAAAAATAAAAAACGAAAAGGGTGCAATTTGTTTAAATCTTTGAATTGTCTGAATTGATTGTTTGATGTAAGGTTGGATGTCTGGGTCGAAGAGGCTCAATTATCAAATCTAGTAGGCATTGGATGGGAAGTTTGCCTAGTTAGGTTTGTGTTTTGGGTCTGATGGTACAACCATGGTTTTTTATTTTTCTGAAACTTGATGAAATTTCTATTTTGAAGATCCTAAAAATTTGAACAAATTTAAGCAAATTTGTTAAAATTTCAATGTATTTCGGTCGAAATTTTTGTCCATATTCAAGTACATGAGGCCCTTTCATCTACCAAAAGAAAAGATTGGAGAAATCAATCTGGGTTATTTGTTTTTGCTGAGCTAACCACAAAGCTTGAGCTAGAGTGCAATTAATGTCTGACCAAATGTAAAATGTTGTCAGATTCTGTGGCTAAGCTCCAAAAGATTGAGGCTAGTAGAGATTGGTACGAATTAATAAATGTGTATATCAAAAAAGTTTGGTACGAAGTGTTGGGTTGGGATTCAGTGCCATCAACCAATGCAGCCATGGTATTGGATAATGTGTGGATATATATGTATCTCTCTATCTCATACCCATTCCGCTTATATCTCAACGTAATCCCATGAGAAGTTGTCTTTTTATATTGGTCTGATCCTCTTCGTGTTGCTTGCATGCAGATGGGTGGCTGAGGAAGATTACATCGTCCACTTTCCGACAGTGAAGATGAAAAGGAAACTGCCTGTCTTTGTCACACCCATCTCATCTTAAGAGTTCAACTGCATCTCTTTGCTTTTGCCTATAAATATATAAAGAGAGAGAAAGATGATAAAAGGAATTGAAGATGAAGAGCAGCCATGGTTGGGGTCCACTTGAGAACTGGTGGACTGGACCTCATTTCATGGAGTGGATGTAATGTAAATCAGGAGAAGCTTCCATGGTGAAGCCTGTCAATTGAATTGTGGGTCCATAAACATAAACAAAGTACATGGATAATAAATAAGTAGATCCATGAGTAAATAGATTTGCTTTTTATTTCTTTGCAAAACGGTAGCTCTTGTGTCGCTGTCCTTCGTATTGGCAACGTCCTTTTTAACCTTCCAGCTATAGAGAGGGAGAGAGAGTTTGATTTTAAGAACACTCCCAAAGTCCCATCTGGGTCTCGTCCCCATCTCTGGGTTGGTTTGGTTTTGATGGGACAATGCGTGGAGATAACCAGCACCACCCATGTCTATGATGCCAACCTCCAAAAGTCTGTTTGTACAGGTTGTCCATTGTAACTACTAATTCCTCCCCCTCCCCCCCCCCCCTACTCTAGGATTCATCACTCATCAGGCGGCCGGGTTGAGGTAATTGTTATTGCACAACCAAAGTCATTCCTGCTTGCGGTGCTACAGCCAGGACAATGATGATTGCAAGTTGCAACCCTCTAAAGGGAGAAATGGACAGATGGAATACTACTACTCCCTTCTGCTTTCTGCTTTCATTAGAGATGCTGCTTTAGAAAAGAAAATATCTTTGAGCCCCCACATTATATATGAAGTTTATAAATTATATTGCCCTTCATCACATCAAAGGGCTATTGCCTTTTAGTTTGATTCAAGGTTCAAAATATCGCAATGTATCAGTTCATATATAATTTGATCCAAGGTTAAAAGTATCACAATATATCAATTCATATATATCGACTTTTAGGGTCACCCGTGCATGCTCTATTATCATATCCACCGTGATTTGGATGCCTGGTTGAACACTCTCAATATGGATACTTTGAGCCTTCGTTTGATCAAAGAACCCATTTGGATGGGCTTCTGTGTGAGGCACAGTTTGGAACGTGAGAAGCCGTGTCCTGAAAGCCCCTCCCAAATGGACACAAAGACTAAGTGCATCGTGACACAAACGTTTGTTTGATTGATGAGAATTGTTTTCTCTGATGGGTACCAAAAGCCTAAAGCGGAGTATCTCTTGGTATCTCAATGGTTAGGTTAGTCGTTCGTTCTCAGCACAGCTTAGTAGAGACACCAATGGGGACATAGCAAAATGAACCAGGCCCACTGGCCATACTGCGGATTGGAGGCCTCAATCTTGTGTCTCCATTCTAGAAACAATGCTGAGTTACCATCTCAAGTTCTCAACTGCTAGGTTATTGGCCTTGACTTGAGGCCCTTGAGTTATTTGAATGGTGCAAAACCAAAGCACAGTGCTTCAAAAAAAAAAAAAATTGAGTAGAGCAAATCAGCATATGGGATTTTATAACCCTTTGAATTTGAATGACAATGAGTTAATTTTTACAGGGTGCCATGAGCCATCCATGGCCGAAACGACATGACATATTTGATGAGGTAACCATTTTTGTAAGGTTACAGCGTACTGCACTATGACCATGGAAAGTGTACCGAAGCCAATCCAAATGTTTGGTCCAGCCCACGCCTAAACCTCAAGTAGATATAATGAAAGAATTGTCCAAACCCAAAGACTACTAGGAAAATGAATGGTTTCTTCAAAAATGATAGTCAATTTGAAAACAAATCATTCTCCTAATTTTGATGGTGGTTAGTTAACTTGATAAACACCAAATGGCTGATAAATATCTGTTTACTTCAAGATTTTAATCCCAACAAATCCTCTAATTTGTGAGATGACTAGTGGAAAAGTAGGAATGTCATCTTCTTACAATTTCTGTTGAATCACTCAAATAATTAAGTCTGCGTTTGTTTAAAATGTAAATGAGAACCGGGATAAACCTTACACCCCAGTTCGATTTTGCAGGCATTTGGTAGGGGTGTTAATATACTTCATCAATCGGTGTAAAACTTTACTTTTCTCTGTTCAACGGTTACCTTGCGTCTCCTCTGTCCAACGGCCTCCCCTGTTCTCTCTCTAAGATTCAACATTATCAGTGAGCGGTGAGACCCAACTCCGTAAGATTCACTGCATAAGATTACTGCCGGTGTACACATTGAAGCATTGCGTAAGATTCACTACGTTGTAAGATTCACTGTGTAAGCATTGCTTGGATGGGGTCATTCAATGCTTACGCCTGGCAGTAAGCATTGATGAGCGGTGAAAGCAGAAGCTGTTGCTCTGTCGATACCCAGTTTTTATGCGAAAAAACTTCTCTGGTGTGTTGGGTCTCACTGTCTCTAGTGTGTTTTCCGCCGAGACCCAATTTGTTCACCTTTAATCAAATAGTTTTTTAATTTACACCTTAGACAGCCAAACATGATCGGTGTAAATTTTCAAAATCAACCGGTCCCGATTTCCATCGATCACTAAATTGGTTCACATTTTTCCATCGTGTAAAATTTGAATTTACACCTTACACAAATGCAGCCTAAGGCGAAAAGTAAAATAGCAAATTGGATCAGCATAAGAGCCATAACTGCCGCATAGCCTAGAGGTCCAACCACCGGGCAGGGGATAAGGTCATACAAACGAGTGACCTACCCGTGGAAACCTGCTATAAGTTGAAGCAATTACACAAATCATGAGGCTCATGAAATGCATTTCCTTCACAACTTTGATGCCAACATTGCCAAGCAGAATACTAGTGCTTCATTTAAGTCATAATTATGCATGATTTAGAACTCAGCTGAAATCAGGAACACAACTTTATGTTCTGTTCAGCAATGAATCTGAATTTGCAGAGTGCAATTTAGATGGGGAATAAATAGGAAAGCTTAGTTCGATTTGATCTAGGGAATGCTGATGTGGAGAACACAGGGGCATCTAGGACCCTGCCATAACCATTACAGGATCTACCTGTAAAAGGACAATGCTTTCCAATCACTTTTGCTGAAATTTCTTAGGTTGAGGCAAGATTACAAGAAACTCACAAGAACATTTCACAGAATACAGCAGGGACTCCTTGTAAATGCTAATCAAGCAGTATTTGCATCCTTTTCTCTTCATTTTTATCTTTTCTTTTCTTTTAATTATTGATGGTGACTAATCTAATGCAGCTCCACCTAATGTTTGAAGATCCCATGCTATTATATGTGCTAAATCTGGCAATTTCTGAACTACTGAATTCAAATGAGATGGTCCAGGGACCAAATTAAACCTATTTCAGAAATTGAAGATACCTAACAAAACAAACTACAATCTTTAGTCTTAAGGAGGCCAGGAATCACCTATATTTCAGTTCTAATGGGAACTGAAATACTGACTTGTGACAAGTTTAATTAAGGAGGCCAGGAATCACCTATATGGAACAAAATAAAATGATAAATGTATACACATTCTATAATAAATAGTTAAACTTAAATATTATCTAATTGTATATTAAGTATAAAATATGAATCTACAAATTAAATCAATAAATAATTAAATAACTGGTGATAAAAAAAATAATTAAATAACTTACAGCTGATTTTAGAAAAAAATTAAAAGATTTCCCAGCAACCTCCTTGGAGCAAAAGTAAAACCAGTGTTGCATGGACATGGACATGGACATGGGGATCAAAATCTGATTAAATCAATAAATAATTAAATAACTGCTGATCGAAAAAATAATTAAATAACTTACAGCTGATTTTAGAAAAAAAATTAAAAGATTTCCCAGCAACCTCCTTGGAGCAAAAGTAAAACCAGTGTTGCATGGACATGGACATGGACATGGGGATCAAAATCTGATGTGTCTGGAAATCTGACTCAGCAAAGATGAAATCACAAGGACTTGCAGACATGTCTATAGAAAAGTATAAACTGTTAAGAAAGTTTGGAAAGGAAAGAAAAGAAGAAAAATTATTGGATTAGAACTGTGCTGCAACTCTTAGTTTTGAAGCACTAAGTTTCTTAAATTTGTTTTTTCTCTTTATATTCCAGCCTTCCTGGATGGTAACAATTCCACCAGCTAGTGAACATTTCCAGTCTTAAGGACCCAGTAACAGCCTGTAAGAACAAGACAAATGAAGAAAATCATCCACTGTACCAGAGGTTGGCGCTTTGCTTCCTTTACCATTAAAAGGGAACCATTTCAACAAACTGGTACCATATGGAGAAGTCATATGTTACTGCACATAAATGCATGCTCACGATAATTACAAGTCTTGTGTCTAACTAATTAATCACCAAAGATGTAACAAGTTCTTGCAAGAGCCTAAATACCCAACAAAGAAAAAACACATGGATCTCATGAAAAAAAATCGAGAAGTTGGTTTTCACATTCAATCAAGACAAAAAAAATGGTAGTAGGAATGTAGGATCACCAGGAAGTATCTATCAATCCATGGTTCTTTTCTTCTCCTCCTCAAGTTTCTGCAGCTCTGCTAACCTCTGAGCCCATGCTCTTTCTCTTGCTACCGCAGCCATCTTACGCTCTATCTTCTTAATATTTTTCTTCCTTTTGGCTTCTTGCAACTGCGCTTTTCTTTTCTTTGCTTCCGACTATCATGTGGACAATACAGTTCCAATGAAAACATGTAAAATTGAAACCAAGTGAGAATGGAGTGTGTAGGAAAATGGTATACTTACCAATAAATAAGGAAAATGCTTGCATTGGAAAGAAAGAAAGCAAAGAGAAACATAATGGAACACAAATAAGGGTATCAATAGTATGCTTGAAAGCGGAGTTCGGGTAATCAAAATTTTCTGGTAGTATTGGTAGTATTAATTTAACAGAAAATGCAGGTCTGAATATGATAAGTGAAGCATCCCGATCTAAGTGGTTCAAAAAACAAAAGGTAAGTTATGGATTACCACCCTGTACTTGGGGGTAATGACACTTAGCCCCCCGAATTTTCATTTGCAACAAAGACTCCCTAATCTTTCAGACCCCAACAATTTGCCCCCTTCATTAGCATTCCATCAGTTAACCTTGAAAAAGATTATCATGTAACTGTCAAGTGCTTGTTAAACACTTCTAAATCCCCAAACTATCATTCCCTTAATTTATAGGACCATTTTGCCCTTTTCTTACAATTTGTTTTATTAGGGTTTAGAAGCAAAGTGGGTGAGAAAGAGAGAGTGTCATTTGCTCTGCTAATTTTTGTCATTTTGAAATGTTGTCCTCTTGCCCATACGAATCTTGAAAGGGCATTTTAGTAAATTAACTTCCTCCAACAATCCAGTTAACAGAGAGGGCGCAAAGTGTTTGAATCTGAAAGTTTAGGGGGATTTTTGTTGCAATTGAAAATTCGGGGGGATAAATGTCACTAACCCCAAAGTACAGGGTGGTAAACTGGTAATCTGTAATTTACATAAACAACAAAAGCCAGTTATTTACCAGGTAATTAGGTAAACAATTAGGGAATCCAAATACACAAGCCTGAAAGAGTGAAGGCATGATACTAAACCTCACAGACCTTCATTACAGAAAATTCATGGAAACAATTTACAAAAAAAATAAAAAAAAGAAAAAACAAAAAAAGGACAGGGAAGGGATCAAATAATGCCGAGGTTATTTTATCAGCAATGAAACAGGAATTTTATTAATATTTAACACCGGGAAAAAGTACAAAACCTTATGGTACATCCCTCCTGATTACTCTTCAACCAGTTTGTGACTACCTTGGAATCCCCTCCAATGATAACATTTGTACAGTTCAAAGAATCTGTTTTTCTTAAACCAGTTAGCACTGCCATGAGCTCTGCCCTAGTGGAGTCTCCTGCGCCAACTGGTCCTGAAAATAAAGCAATTATATTCTCTGCACTGTTCCTCATCAATCCCCTGGCATCCCTGGATTGCCTAGGCTGCATCCACCTAAATTCAGCTTATAGAAGGAACATGGTGGAGGTCTCAAAACAGCATATTATTTCTTTTTCCAGTAGAAGACTAAGCCACTATTTTCCACCTTCTGCGGTTATCATGAATGGAGAATTGAACAAACAAATCTGACGTTTTGACCCAATGAACAACCTTGATTATGATAATGACCTTGAAACTGTTTTCCTTATCCTTAAATTTCTTTCTGCTCAAGCACACTGCAAAACTGCTGCCCTTGTACATCTCCATGGGATTTTACCCCTATTTATTGCCCTAGAGGATGCCACCTACAACTTGTGAATAATTCGATTAAACCTAGTTCAGTCCTAGGTCTGAAGTAAGTAAGAAAAGAAGAAGAAGAAGAAGAAGAAGAAGAAGAAGAAGAAGAAGAGAGAGAGAGAGAGAGAGAGAGAGAGAGAGAGAAGGAGAAAGGGTTCGGTTTGAGAAGAAGAAAAGTCACCTCTCTCAGTCGACCCACTTTGTATTTATACTCTTTGTATTAGATTACAAAAGACAAAGTTGTCCCTCATTAAGTATGGGACACACAACTTAAACCCAGACAAAGTAGACAACTTAACCTTAATTAGATAGTCAAAAAACTTACCTACCCTTGTACTGTCAATTCTAACACTCCCCTTCAAGCTAGAGAGTATATATCATATAGTCCCAGCTTGTCACATATGCAATTCACTCTTCCCCGACTCAGCCCTTTTGTAAACAGATATGCCCACTGGTTTCCTGAACTTGCATGAGCTATATTTATCACATAATTGATCACCTTTTTTCTTACAAAGTGGCAGTCAACTTCAATATGCTTTGTTCTCTCATGAAAGACTGGATTAGAAGAAATGTGGACAGTAGCTTGATTATCACAATACAACCTCATGGGCCTGTCAATTGAAAACCCAATTTCCTGCAAAAGATTTTTTATCCACACTAGTTCACATGTAATATGAGCCATAGCCCTGTACTTGGCTTTTGCACTACTTCTTGACACCACTTTGTTTCTTGCTCTTCCAAGTTACCAGATTGCCACCAAGGAAGGTACAATACCCTGTGGTGGATCCCCGGTCAGACACAAATCTGGCCCAGTCAGCATCTGTATACCCTTCTATCTCAAGAGTTCCTCCACTTTTGCATAAACTGACTCACCATGCTTACAACAAAGGATATATCTGGCTGGGTAATAGTCAGGTAGTTCAATTTTCCCACCAACCTCCTATACCTTCTAGGGCCATCAAACTCTTCACCAGCATCAATACTCAACTTAACATTCGGTTCCATGGGTGTTTCAACTGGTTTGGCACCCAACAACCCTGTTTCTTCAAGTAATTCAAGAACATACTTCCTTTGGCACAAGTTAATTCCATGCCTTAACCTTGTAACTTCAACTCTCAGGAAATATTTTAGTTTACCCAAATCTTTTGTGTGGAAGTGATCTTGTAGAAAGTTTTTCAACCTGTCAATCCCATTGTTGTCACTACTAGTTATGACAATATCACCCACATACAACACTAACAAGATTTTCCTAGCTTTTGATTCACAGTTGAACACAAAATGGTCTACTTGACACTGTTTCATGCCAAAGTTCTTCACTGAATCTGCCAAACCATGCACATGGAGATTGATGCAATCCATAAATTGCCTTCTTAAGTCGGCAAACTTTACCATCCTCCCCCTGAGCAACAAACCCTAGTGGTTGCTCCATATATACTTCCTCAACTAGATCACCATGTAAGAAGGCACTTTTTATGTCAAGCTGAAAGAGAGGCCAATCATACATTGTTGCTAAAGAAATCAACACCCGAACTGAACCAATCTTAGCCACAGGAGAAAATGACTCCGTATAGTCAGCACTATATAATTGAGAATAGCCTTTGGCCACTAACCTGACTTTCAACCGTTCCACACTACTATCTGGACGATATTTTACTGTGTAGACCCACTTACATCCAACGACATGCTTACCAGGAGGGAGAGTGGTAAGTTCCCATGTGTGGTTGTGTGCCAGAGCAAACAATTCCTCTTCCATTGCTTGTCGCCACCCTGGAGAGCAATAGAAACATAATGAGAAATAGGATGACATGTATAACTACGTTTACCTTTCCACAATGCAATAGGAAGATCAATGTCAGAAGGAGGAGGTGCAACCACAGGATCTGTCGACTCGGGCTGAACTGGAGGAAGGGCCGATGTTCTTCTGTGAGTATACACTTGTGTAATTGGTGGCCTCTCAATATTAACCTGCACTGGAGAAAACAGTGACTGAGATAGAACAAGAACCATAGGAAGAGGGTCCTCAATTGGGATTGGAAGTGAAAACATAGGAGCAAGAGGAGGGACATCAACATTCGAGAAGAATGGAACCGACTCAAACAAAGTGGCATCAGAACACACAAAGGACCGATGAGAGCTGAGGTTATAACACTTATACCCTTTCTAGGTTCTGGAGTAACCAAGGAAGATGCATTTTGTAACACGTGCATTTAACTTGTCTAGTCCAGGCCCTAAATTTTGAACAAAACAAAAACAATCAAAGACTCTAGGAGTAAGAGGGAATGGAGAAAGAGTACGAAACAAGATTGAGAAAGGAGATTGACTTCCAAGGATGGACATGGGCATCCAATTGATGAGAAAACATGATATAAGGACAACATCACTCCAAAAACGCTTTGGAACATTCATATGAAGCATAATTGACTGAGCAATTACAAGTGAGTGTCGGTTTTTCCGTTTAGCCACACCATTTTGTTGTGGGGTATAAGAACAAGAAGTTTGGTGATATACCCCATGGTGCTCAAAGTATTGCTGAAATGTTCCAAAGCGTTTTTGGAGTGATGTTGTCCTTATATCATGTTTTCTCATCAATCGGATGCCCATGTTCATCCTTGGAAGTCAATTTCCTTTCTCAATCTTGTTTCGTACTCTTTCTCCATTCCCTCTTACTCCTAGAGTCTTTGGTTGTGTTTGTTTTGTTCAAAATTTAGGGCCTGGACTAGACAAGTTAAATGCACGTGTTACAAAATGCATCTTTATGAAACATAATTGATTGAGCAATTACAAGTGAGTGTCGGTTTTTCCGTTTAGCCACACCATTTTGTTGTAGGGTATAAGAACAAAAAGTTTGGTGAATTACCCCATGGTGCTCAAAGTATTGCTGAGGTGTAATCTTTTGCATTATCCGAGTGAAGAATTTTAATATGAACTCCAAATTGGGTACGGATTTCAGCATAAAATTTTTGAAAGATAGAGAACAATTCACTTCTGTCTTTCATAAGATATAGCCATGTCATCCCTGAAAAGTCATTAACAAAAATTACAAAATGCTTATAACCATTGTATGACACTACTTTGTTTGGATCGCAAACATCTGAATGGACTAAAGAGAAAAGACTCAAAACACAACTATCAACTCTAGGACTAAAAGAGACTCTTTGGTGTTTCCCAAGCTACGAATCACAATCCAACGATGGAACTTAAAGACGGGATTAATAACTTCAAAGCCTTGAGCGACGGATGACCAAGCCTATAGTGCCACTGGAGAGGAATAAGAGAGGACTGAAGAGCTACTTTCGGACCACCACCATCAAGATAATACAATTCACCTGCCTCATACCCTCCACCAATCTTCATCCCCGTCTTAAGATCCTGAAAAACACAAGATCAAAAGGGAACTTGGTTA